CACACAGACACACAGACACGCAGACACACAGACACACAGACACACAGACACACAGACACTCAGACACGCAGACACACAGACACACAGACAGACAGACACACAGACACACAGACACACAGACACACAGACACTCAGACACGCAGACACGCAGACACGCAGACACGCAGACACGCAGACACGCAGACACACAGACACAGAGACACACAGACACACAGACACACAGACACACAGACACACAGACACACAGACACACAGCCACACAGACACACAGACACACAGACAGACAGACACACAGACACACAGACACACAGACACACAGACACACAGACACACAGACACACAGACACACAGACACACAGACACACAGACACACAGACACACAGACACACAGACACACAGACACACAGACACAGACACACAGACACACAGACACACAGACACACAGACACACAGACACACAGACACACAGACACACAGACACACAGACACACAGACACACAGACACACAGACACACAGACACACAGACACACAGACACACAGACACACAGACACACAGACACACAGACACACAGACACACAGACACACAGACACACAGACACACAGACACACAGACACACAGACACACAGACACACAGACACACAGACACACAGACACACAGACACACCGACACACCGACACACCGACACACCGACACACCGACACACCGACACACCGACACACCGACACACAGACACACAGACACACAGACACGCCGACACGCCGACACACAGACACACAGACACACAGACACACAGACACACAGACACACAGACACACACACACAGACACACACACAGACACACACACACACCCACACACACACAGACACACACACACAGACACACATAGACACACACACAGACACACACACACAGACACAGACACACACACACAGACACACAGACACAGACACACAGACACAGACACACAGACACAGACACACACACACACAGACACACACCCACACACAGACACACACACACACACACAGCGCGCAGTTTGAGAGACGCGTCGACACACAGAGCCACGCAGCAACACGCCGCGACACGCAGAGAGACCGACAGAGAGTTGCAGAGCCCCACAGAGAACCCGCAGAGACACACTGAAACGCACAGACGCACACGGAGACGCGCAGAGACGCGCAGAGACGCGAGCAGAAATACACGGAGACATGCAGATCATGTATGAAGCTGGAAAGTTTTCGGGCCATGGCCCTCGATCCCAGATTGGCCTTCAAAGACCTCACCATACAATGCTGCCCTAAGCCCCAACCTTTTGCGCATCTCGCGCTGAAGAGGTAAGTTGAGAATTCTTTGGCTGGAACGTTGTAAGGTAGCAAGAAAGTGACGTCAACGTAAGAGCAGTTTCGAGGTTTGGGTGGATGGTTTCAAGGACTGGCCGACGGAACATTGAAACGGGATGGCTTGTGCAGAACTTGGCCAACTTCAGATCAATCAGTGCAGCCAGAAGGAGAGCTCGCGCGACACTTTGATTGAGATGTTTGGCTCGAGTCCATGGACATTGGCCTCCATTCGAACATGCTTCACCTTGACTCGCAGAGTCTCACATGCCTAAGTGGAGCCAAAGGAGCTCTCTGTTTTGATGGATTAAGCGCGTGTGTGTTGGTTCAAGATATAGTTGCCCGGTGCCTCGGCAAGCAAGCTGTGCCAGCCATTGACCAGTGCTCAGGGGCGATTTCGCAGGTTTCCCCGCTTTGTTCGAAAGAGGTTTCCAGTGGCACCTGCTTCCTGCACTTTGCGGAGACCCATGGCTCCATGGGCTCGAACTTCTGATCAGAGAAGCACCGGTAACCAAAAAAGGAGCCATCTTTGCGAACACATAGGGACAGAACCAGCTGTCAGGCAAACTAAAATTTATACAAGGGCCTTCAGAAGATATCGCTGCGGAGATACAGGGCGAAGGAGTTGAGGAGGGGCCTCCTAGCAGATCTATCCAGTCGCACATTCGCGGAAGCTCTTGAAAGTTGTTGCCAGTCTTTCTTTGCACCGCAAGCTTCGAGGCCTGTTTCGAAAGCGCACGGAAGGCATGGTGTAAGGTATTGCTTCCACAACCAATGGTCATGTTGTTTCTTCTGCCGTTTTGCGAAAGCTGTCATGCCGTTTCATAAATTGAATCGGTTTATGTCGCCCATTAGTCGCGACAAGTTTTCGTTTGGTCGTTTGGACCGGACAACTTGCTGTTTGGATGAGTAACGAGACCGCTTCGCTTTCGCGCGGGAAAATATGACTGAAAGAATACCTCCCACCGGCATGTCGCTCACGTTCAAAAAAGAAACATCTCGCACGAGTGCCCTGCAGCTTTCAGCAACAGCGTGTTACACATAGGGACAAATTGTGTGTCTGATCTGCCGGGCAGGAGGCATGCTAGATCAGCTTGGCTGTACCCAGAACTTCGCGCACGCTCCACGCCGTAGCACTCTTGCTTGCATATGCGCTCAGACCTTTTTGATGCGTTGCCTTGCAGCTGCCGCGCATGGGGGCATCCAACTGAATGCTGCAGTCTTGGCCCACATTTGCTTCGCGAGCTTGCTGCGCAGCAGGGTAATTCGTAAGAGGCTTGCACTTAGGACGCAACTGAGCAGACACCTGACCTGCTGCTTGACTTCACAGGGCGCGCGCATGCAGCTTTGCCATCAGCAAGTGGCGTTGAAGCCAACCGACCTGGCGCCGTGCTGCGTCAAGTTCCAGCTGCGCGAGTTGGAAGCTTTGTGGACCCTTCCGGCCAGAAGCAGAGAAGGCAGACACTCGCATTGGCGCATCTCATCCCAGCCTGCCATTCCAGGGCTTTCTGCCTTGATAGGTTGCAGGGAATGAGGTTTGCGTTGGCTGCAAGGAATAGCGCAAACCCCCTTCACTTTCTTTTGCCTGAAACGCTGGCGCCGAATACCAATCAATCATTGTGGTTGTGGGAAAAGGCACGTTCAGCCACTTGCAATAAACTCAGGAATGGGTGGCGCAAGATATGGGGCGCAAGATGCGGCACACATAGGAAGATCTGCGGGCATGCCCTTTTTCCTTACTCTCTTAGTTGCACCGTGCCGCTTAATACCGTTGGGCTTAGTCGCACAAGCCGCGGCGCCTTGTTTGGATGCGTCGCGCATCGTACCACTTAAGACCAGCAGCCTTATGCTACACAGGCAGCCGCGCGGCCAGAAACACCCAGAAGATCCACATGGAGGCAGCTTTGCAATTGAAGGGCCTCCTGACACTTGCAGTTGTTGGTGAATTTTGTGTGCATTGGGCTTGAGGTAGCCTACTTGTTCCAGTACAGAGAGGCAAGGTTGCCTTTTGCAAGTTAAGTTGGCGTGTTTCAGACGTAGCACGCTTTTCCATGGGAATGCTGGCGAGGGTCCTCGCCTCACTGCGCATCCTGGCAGTTCTTAAGAGGATTGAGTTTGGGTAAAATTCAGCAGAAAGCTGACCTGCGGCCACAGTCATTGCCAGTTCTGTTGAAGCCAACTGACCCCGCCAGTGGGAAACTGAGCTTTGCGGAGCCTGCAGGCACGCAGCCGTCAAGGCTGAAACTCATCCCAGCACTCGCGCAACTCAGAATCCTAGCATGTTCGTTCAGGGCTGTTTTTTCCTGAAGTAAGCTGCTTGGAATCAGGTTTGTAATGACTGCCAGGAGTAGCCTTAGATGGCATCACAATCAGTTTCATGTTGCCTTGACATGAGCAAGGAACAATGTGCTTCAAGAGCTTACTGCGCCGCCGGGTATTTCGTAAGCGGCTGCACTTGCACGCAACTCAGCAGACACCTGACCTGCGGCCTGAATTGGCAGGGCGCAGTTGCTGCTTGATTGGCAGTGCGTTGCCATGCGTTTGTCGTCAGCAAGTGGTGTTGCAGCCAACCGAGCTGCTTGTGCCTTTGCGAAGACTCATCTCCGCGCTTGCGCATCAAAGCCTGCTTGGAATGCGCCATGTGTTGGCTGCTAGAAACTGCACTGAGCAAGGAACATCATGCTGCCTGACTTGAGCAAAGTTCCGAGTTGTACCCAGCCAGCTCGGCTGTGCGCAAAACTTCATGACAAGATTCAGTACTGCTTGCCAAAGTGCTGTTTGCGCATGCGCTTACATCTTTAGAGTAGGTGGCATTGCCTTGCAGTGCCGACAGCTGGCATGCGTTGGGATTTGATTCTATAGTACGTTCTTCGGCCTGGCATGTGCTTCGCGCCACGGCCTTGATGACAGTTGAAGCCAACCGACCTGGTGCCGTGCTGCGTCAAGTTCCAGCTGCGCGAGTTGGAAGCTTCGTGGACCCTTCCGGCCAGAAGCAGAGAAGGCAGACACTTGTCGCATTGGCGCATCTCATCCCAGCCTGCCATTCCAGGGCTTTCCGCCTTGATGGGTTGCAGGGAATGAGGTTTGCGTTGGCTGCAAGGAATAGCGCAAACCCCCTTCACTTCCTTTTGCCTGAAACGCTGGGGCCGAATACCAATCAATCATTGTGGTTGTGGGAAAAGGCACGTTCAGCCACTTGCAATAAACTCAGGAATGGGTGGCGCAAGATATGGGGCGCAAGATGCGGCACACATAGGAAGATCTGCGGGCATGCCCTTTTTCCTTACTCTCTTAGTTGCACCGTGCCGCTTAATACCGTTGGGCTTAGTCGCACAAGCCACGGCGCCTTGTTTGGATGCGTCGCGCATCGTACCACTTAAGACCAGCAGCCTTATGCTACACAGGCAGCCGCGCGGCCAGAAACACCCAGAAGATCCACATGGAGGCAGCTTTGCAATTGAAGGGCCTCCTGACACTTGCAGTTGTTGGTGAATTTTGTGTGCATTGGGCTTGAGGTAGCCTACTTGTTCCAGTACAGAGGCAAGGTTGCCTTTTGCAAGTTAAGTTGGCGTGTTTCAGACGTAGCACGCTTTTCCATGGGAATGCTGGCGAGGGTCCTCGCCTCACTGCGCATCCTGGCAGTTCTTAAGAGGTTTGAGATTGGGTAAAATTCAGCAGAAAGCTGACCTGCGGCCTGAACACAGTCATTGCCAGTTGTGTTGAAGCCAACTGACCCCGCCAGTGGGAAACTGAGCTTTGTGGAGCCTGCCAGGCACGCAGCCGTCAAGGCTGAAACTCATCCCAGCACTCGCGCGACTCAGAATCCTAGCATGTTCGTTCAGGGCTTGTTTTCCTGAAGTAAGCTGCTTGGAATCAGGTTTGTAATGACTGTTAGGAGTAGCCTTAGATGGCATCACGATGAGTTTCATGTTGCCTTGACATGAGCAAGGAACAATGTGCTTCAAGAGCTTACTGCGCCGCCGGGTATTTCGTAAGCGGCTTGCACTTGCACGCAACTCAGCAGACACCTGACCTGCGGCCTGAATTGGCAGGGCGCAGTTGCTGCTCGATTGGCAGTGCGTTGCAACGCGTTTGTCGTCAGCAAGTGTTTTGCGAAGCTGTTGCATTGGCGTTGGCTGGCTGCGCATCATAGTCATGCGCAAGGTAGCTTGCACGAGGCTGCACCCGTAAGCTTCTTTCACGCCAGTCCGTTGCGTTTGTTTGTTTCTCTTACGCGCAGGTGCTTCTTGGACGGCGCTGAAGTGGTGAAGCCAGCTGACCTGGCTCCGGCGTTGTGAAGTTGCAGCTGCGCGAGTTTCAAGCTTTGCTTCTGGGGCTTGCGAGCCAAGGCAATTTGTAGTTGTGCATTGGGGGAGCTTCCTGAGCCCAAGCTTCACTTGACAGAGGTGCTGCCCAGGCAGTGCTTCGCAAGGACTCCGTCAGCAACCTAGGCCGCGGAAGTTTTGTGAAGTTCCCACTGCGGGAGTGTTCTGACTTCAGCAAAGTGCAGAGCTGTTGGCTAGCTTGTTCAAAACAGAATCATGAGCAGACGGATTGTGCGGCCAAGCTGGTTGAGTCCAACCCAACCTGTTCGAACTCCTGGGGGCCTAATCGCAATCCATAATCCGATTAATCCTTGTTGTGGTCGGCAATCTTCTCAATCCGTGATCCGTGCTGCAAGCTTTTGGTCAAAACCGTATATTGGAGCGTCCAAAGTCCGTGCAAAGCATCCGCAATCCGCAAGCCGCACATGTTAGCGACCTTGCGACCAGAGAGGCCTCGCCATGTGCCCCCTTTGCCTCGTGTCAGCTCCACGGCCCTTTCGGATGGACGCCTTTGCCTATGTGATGCATCGTGACTTTGGTAAATGCTACACGCCCTTGCGGCGCCTTCTCTGAGGCTGCCACAGCCCTGGTTAGAAAGTCCGCAGCCTTTTGGGGGGGAAAAGGAGTTAAAGAAAAATGGGAGACCCGAGAACCCTGGAACCCCCTTCTTAGGATTTGGCTGAGTTTGCGGCATGCCGGGATGGATGCCGACTCGAACAAGTCTCCGGCCGAGGGGTTCGCAGAACCCTTCCCTTGTGGAAATGACTGCGAGTTGGTTCGCGCAACTGTTCGCGGAACTTCGCGGAGCTGTTCGCTGAAACATTTTTCAGATAACGTAGATTTTGTCATTGAAATTCCGAAGGCCTGACATGTTGCACCATTTGGCCATTCAATGTGATTGAACCTGTTTATACAAAAGATGGCATTCACGCACAGCAACTGTCTTGGCATGACCTTGGTTTATCCGAGCAAATACAATGGGATGCGCAATCAGAAGTATACGGATTGCCTGACGCAGTGGTTTGCTGAGTGGCTTGTTTGTGTACTCCTTTGGTTTTGCCTTCCATCGCGTCAGGAGCACACTCAGGCGATTTAGCATGCCAGGTGCATCATGTCATTCGGAGCCCGCCGGCTCGGCTGTTGCCAGACCCTCCGCGCATTGACCCCATTTTCCCCATGGTTTGCTCGCCGGCCTTTCCTCTTCTTCAGGGGGACAGGGGCAATCCCATGAAGGAAGTGAGAGGCTGCGCAGACGTTCCTCCACTCTGGCGCGGCCGAAGATGCTGGAAGCGGCTGCGAAGGACCTTCCATTCAGCTGGATAATGAACGTTGTTTCTAGGGACGGCTACTTGGCCAATACTGGATGCTCCTAGATGCGATTTCCTTTCATATGCCGGCATGGATCGCGCGCCATAGGAGATGGCTGAGCGTTTGAGAGGTTTTCTGCATGTGTTCGTGCGCAGTGTCGTTCCGCAAATCATTTGGGTCCTGGTGCGCTGCGCAACCGGCGATTGTAAATGCGCTGTGCAGCAAGCAGGGACTACACCGAGTACTTCTTAACATGCAAGATAGGCGTGGGGTGATGTTGGGCCTTGCCTCCAGCTGCGGTTAGAGTTCCCACCCGGCCAAAGACTTGCCGCTGGTGCAAAGTGCCTCGATGTGGCTCGCGGGTGGGCTTTCCGCTGTCAGAATCCCAATGAGTTCGATAGTATTCGGGTTGCCCGGGGAGACGCGCAGGCAGGCCTTGGCCAAAGTGCAGCATTCGGCCGAAAACCATACTCTTGCAAGATATATGTGCTCGGTGGCTTCCAGCCACCAGTTCCTTAGCTTTTCAGTTTTTTGGTCGGCTTAGTGACCAAAAGTTGTCGACTTTTAGACTGGAATCAGAAAACGGACATGATCCCCAAAGTAGAACCTTTGGAACACCTTTGCAGCCTGTCCCTTGGACCAAAACCAAAGGAGGGTCCTCAAAACCCTTTCTCCTTGGGCCCCCTATTCTGTCCCACTCCACTCCAGGTCTCCAAAAAGTTCCCGGACCTCAACTGCTTTTGGGACAGTACTTGGGATTTTGGATATGGGAAAAGGATGGAAAAGGCAGTTGGGGGATGGAATCGGTTCGACCGACGCGGCGAGGTCTGCGGCCTCCTCAAGGAGCCAGTGAAAGGCCGATTCCGGTCCGAATGTAATGAGCTCGTCCGGTGTTGGGGACGTGGTGCCCAATACGTTGCGTGGCTGTGCCGTGGTGTCTGCGTGTTTGCGTGTGTTTTCGTGTGTTTGCCTTTTTATATTGTTCTTTTGGTTTGTTTGTTTGCTTGCTTGATTGTTTGTTTGTTTGTGTCGTTTGCGTGTCGTGTGTTTGCGACGCTTGTTTGTGTCGTTTGTTTGTGTCGTGTGTTTGTGTGTGTGTGTTTGCTTGTTTGCTTGTTTGTTCGTTTGTTTGTTTGTTTGTCTATTTGTTTGTTTGTTTGTTTGTTTGTTTGTGTGGTTGTTTGTGTTTTGTGTGTTAGTTTTGTTTGTTTTGTTTTGTGTGTGTTTTGTTTGTTTGTTTGTTTGTTTGTTTTGAGTGTTTGTGTGTTGAGTGTTTGTTTGTTTGTGTTTTGTTTGTTTGTTTGTTGGTTTGTTTTGAGTCTTTGTGTTTTGAGTGTTTGTTTTGTTTGTTTTGTTGTGTTTTGTTTCTTTGTTTGTTTGTGTGTGTGTGTGTGTGTTTGTGTTTGTTTGTTTGTTTGTGTGTGTTTGTGTGTGTGTGTTTTTGTTTGTGTGTGCTTTGTGTGTGTGTTTTGTGTGTGTGTGTGTTTGTGTGTTTGATTGCTTGCTTGCTTGCTTGCGTGCTTGCTTGCTTGCTTGCTTGTTTGATTGCTTGCTTGCTTGCTTGCTTGCTTGCTTGCTTGCTTGCTTGCTTGCTTGCTTGCGTGTTTGTTTGTGTTTTTGTTTGTGTTTTGTGTGTGTTTGTTTGTTTGTTTGTTTGTTTGTTTGTTTGTTTGTGTTGTTTCTGTTGTTTGTGTTTTTTGTTTGTTTGTTTTGTTTGTGTGTTTGTTTGTTGCTTGTTTGGTTGGTTTGTTCGCTTGCTTGCTTGCTTGATTGCTCGCTGGCTCGCTTGCTCGCTTTCTTGCGTTCTTGCGTTCTTGTTGCTTGGTTTCTTGGTTGCTTGGTGGCTTGCTTGCTGGCTGGCTGGTTGGTTGGTTGGTTGGCTGGTTGCTTGCTTGCTTGGTTGATTGGTTGGTTGGTTGGTGGCTGTTTTGCACTTGTTTTGAGTTGGAAGCAGGCAGAGTAGAGTAGGGCATTGTTCACTCACTGTAGATAGGGTCACAGTTGCTGCCAGGTAGTGCTTTGCCGTTGCCTAAAAAGTCATCAGAGATGCACAGAGAGTTTGATGCAATTGGAGGAGCGAATTTGGTCGGTGCAAACCTTACACAGTGGCATCAAGACAGTCGCACGCAGTTTATTCCCCCTATTGAATACGTGCTCCGGGTGCATGCGTGCTTCATGTCTATTCCCGGACCCATCTATTCTACTGGACCCGGGTTTTGACTTTCGACTAGCACGGTTCAACTTCAGTATATGCCTGGCAAAACTGAAACGCAAATCGCCAAGTTCCTTGAATGATTCAAGTGGATACATTTTACTATGACGGTGTTGTGGTGGGACAGGGCGGAGCCCATTTGGACGAGGGCCAAACTGAAAACCACTGGAACCTTATCATATTTATCCTTAGGTGTCCTTTTGTTTCATTAGGCGAAGCAATGTCGCATTTGAAAGGTCAGGTTGCCCTGTTGCAAGCATCTGAGAAACACCGGGCAGCCAACAACACACCTGGCAGCTCTGAATTGCTTTTGCATTGACGCACCTTCCATGCGCGTGCATCCTGGACTTGGAAGGAGAAGACTTGGACTCCTGTACTGACCACAAGGGACCGACTTTGCTTTTTGAAGACAAAGTGCGGAGTCGTGTCTTGTATATGCGCAGTGGTCATATGGCTGCGAGTCAATTTGTAAGGTCCGGAACAGGGTCCGGAACCCACATGCGATCCAGACCTCCGTTCCAGACCTCCGTTCCAGACCTTGCCTAGAAACATGTTCCAGACCTTCCGTTCCAGACCTTGTTTATGTATATTTATTTCTAGAGTATTGATTCAGATGGTCGTTCTTTGTCGGGTGTGCAAGTGCAATGGCCAAGGCTGAAATGGCGTGGAGCCAGAAAGAAGGAGCAAAGGAGCAAGAAAGAAGGTGAAAGAAATGAAGAAAGGAGTATCGGTGTTCCGGAACTTTGGTTCGGTTCGGTGCGATACAATTCCGCCGCTTTCGATACGATACGGTAACGGTTCGATACCGTTCTCGGTTGAAACGACCATGTTTGCATGCGGCTTGCTAGCATTCCAAAGTGCAAGCCGCTCGCGTAACCGTTCCAGACCCCGTTCCAGACCCGTTCCAGACGTGTTCCAGACGCAGCGGAGCAATTTGCCACCAAGTCCACATGCGCACACATGCGCTATGTAAGTAGCTGCGCTTCTCACGTGGCCCGCCACCCAAGAAGCCTTTAAGGACGACATGTGCCAGGGCTTTGGAGACAAAGAAGTCTTTGAAGGATACCCTGCATCGGCTTGCGCATCGGTGGACATCGGCTTACGCCTCCCAGCCTTGTGCATCGGCTGGCGCGCGTGGCGGGCGTGACTACAGCGCATCGGTGTCCCAATGACGCGAGGGTGGCAACGATGGCGGCGCGCCCGTAGTCGTTTCATCCATCCATCTACCCATCCATCCATTCATCCATCCATCTATCCATCTTACACAAAATGAACCTGTGCTTGAGGACTCCACGCATGTCCTCCCAGAGGTCCGGAACAAGCGACCTTGCGTAACTGACTCGTTCCAGACGTCCGCGTCACCGCGGAACGTTCCACACCAGAATATTGACCCACACCCATATCAAAAGACCGATTTTAGCCTGCAAGTACTTGCTCCTATCTGGGGGGGCGGGGGGGGGCATGTTTCACTTCCGAACAAGTGAGTCCACGTTCAAAGAGCGCTGACATGTACATACATATTACTAAAAGCAAGGTACATGGCATCATCCAGGCTGTTGTTTAGCAGAGATCTCAGTCAAGAAGGGGCTTTACTTGATAGCAAGTTGAGTGGAGATGGTGGCCCCCGACTTCGGGCAGCACAGCTGCTTTGCTTGTCTTTCAGCTTGCTCTTGCATATTTCGCATGATACTGTGGATGGACAGAATCCTGCACCACTTTGAAACCATGGGAAACCATTGTTTATTGGTATTTACGGAAGAATCATCATTCCGGGCTTCTGAACGGTGCAGAATTTCGACCACCCACAGTACCATGCATGTTTGAGAAGTAAATACTTCTTCGTGCTTTGGTTTCAACCAAACACCACACCGCAGCCCCCAGCTTGGGGCTGGGACGTCACTCGGCCACGCGCGCCTCGGAGGCTTTTGGATTGCGTACGTATTTGGAGGTTGATCAATATTCCCGCCCCTAAAAGGACCATGAGCATCAGTTAGTAGGAAGTTTCATCTTTTGTTGGGATTTCCCTGGTGGTCATCCCAGGAAAAGGACCTTTTGATCAACCCCCATTTATTAGTTGAGGCTACCCTTTGCGGGGCTGTCTGAAAGCGAAAACAGTGGACGCCCAGATCCCAATTGGAGACACGCCGTGGTGCTGCAGGCGTATTTCAGATTGTCGATGCCCGGGACTTTGTCTGGAGCCCAGCACAACGGTCGCTTGGTCGATTGGTTTCTGCGCTGGCGATGGCATTCTGTTCGAATGGGTGTTCCGTGCAGAACAAAGCGTCCCCGTTTTGGTTGCCAAAGGGAAACACTGGCAAGCCAGTGAAGCATGCAAATGGGAGCCAGATGGCCTGATTGGAAGAGCTGGAGGGAGTGGCTTGTGGGTGACAGTTCGGCTTTGCTCGGGTGCTCCTTGCCTGGATATTGATTTTGAAGGCAAATGGTCCTGCTTTGTCCTCACCCAGGGTCATGTTTGAGAGACAGGTTGGCATGTTTGCTTGTTCCTTTGATTCAACAGTCTGACAGATCCACCTGGATCTGAAACTGCTAGTGGAAAGAACCATGTCTTGGCAAACACATTGCTCATCGCAACTGTCTCTCAGCGAATTCTCGTGTTGCTTTACTGCCTACGTGCTGGCTTGCAAATTGTTTCCTCTCCGATGGCCATGAAAGCTGGTCGTCGCATCCCGCAAGCTCATGGCTTGACTTGTGTCAAGCATGCCCTGATTGGAGAAGAGAATGCTACAGATTGGAGACATGTCCGCTTAGTAATCGGCCCTTATGCCTGCTACTTACACAGACTGCAGGAGACCATGCAGTTGCATCCTCTGTGAGAATTGGTAAGGACCATCAAAATAGATACGAACGTGTTGCCAAACTACTGTAGGGAATGGTCGGGATGGAGAGTTTTCTGCAGCACAGACTTTCAGCGTGTGATTGCCAATTATTCTGCCGGCCACATGGTGCTTTGCAGTGTAGCCTGTGAAGAAGTGACATTTGCAGCAGTAATTAGCCCATTTCCTCTCTACATGTACAGATATTTTCAGCAGTAGTCCCTCTTTACAAACTGTATGCTCTTCTGCAAGCACTATTTCAAGTTGATACAAGTATGGTTTCCCTTCAGGCACCGCGACAGAGGGTTGCATTTTCCTTGGCCTCGTTTCCAAGGCTCAAGAGCTCCACGTGCAGGCTCCTTCCGCGTGAAGTCTCTTTTCGTTGCGCCGGAAAGCAGGTGCAGTTCCCATTACGCGCACAAAAAAAACGATACACAAGCTATGCTGAACTTTTTTTTTGCCGGTGGCAACGGGAGAATGGGATCCTGGAATTTCCCTCACAGTCATTTTGTTGGGTACAAAAGGAGCCTC